CCTTCTTTTCTCTCAAAATACAGCCATATCCAATCTTGCTTTGGGCCATCCATATTTGAAAGTTTCAATGCAAAGCTTCAGGTTTCTTTTAAGTTCGTATGTGCTGACTTTTCAACCGTCTTTTTTGAAGGCTGAACAACCTATCAACTACGAAAACCCTGGGAGATACTGTGCTTCAATCAATGTCCATTCTTATGCAAATCATATGTTACATCATGCATTTAAAATGAAGAGTTCATCTCAATCGGACTCAGTAAATCAAAGTTTAAATCATCCTGATTTTCTAAATGAAAAAAAAGAATCAGAATGTTAAAATTCAGCCAATTCTTCATTTAAAATATAGAACAAAAAGATTTCTGAAGCATTCTTGAAACACATAGCATATTTTTCTTGAGTGATTTCTAGTGCTGTTTTGAGTCATTTGAATCATGATTAAAATGAATGCTTTAAATTAAACAACCCTGCCAATTGGTTGAAATCATGTTTTCAAATTTATTTATTTATTTTCAAAGTTATTTCAAAGTTGTCATTTGAAGAAAATAAAGAATATTAAAAAAAGACCATTCTGATGATGCATCTGAAGACACGTTTTTGGGAAAATTGCCATTGGAAATGCGCAAGCCTTCACACGACAAACGTGCATATCAGTTACTATAATTCATTGGTTCACTTTGTGATATTGCATAGCTGCATTTGAGTGAATGTGAGAATGGATCCCTGAGGCTCAAATTCCAGCGCAATTCTAACATGACTCAGCAACTTTTAATCTGAAATAGAAAATCCTAGAATATCATTTTTATCGAAAGACAGTATTCACTGGGCTGAAACTTCTGAGGTTTGTTCTCAGATGACCTTCTTTTGATTTTGAGTGATTTTGTTGCCTCAAAGTAACATGACGCACAAAGGATCAGGCAAATGATGGGCTGTACCTTGAACACATGTGAAGCTATTATCACTATTCACAATATCAAACATACAGGGACAGTTGGCAGATAAAATTTCTGGCATTTTAAAAGAATCAATCACGGCTCACCTATGCTCCTTCAACCAGGTAACTTCATCTCCAAGAAAGGCCACAGTAAACACAACACTGAAACGAATATAAGAAGAATCTACTTTGTTACATCTTCAGCAATTTCAAGCCATGGTGCCTTTGCAAATGACTCCAGACACAAGACACTTTAGCTCATGACTCCATATTTACTGGAGGTGTATTCAAAGCCAAACTTGTGAAGAACAAGTCCCTGCTGTGTAAAAGGTCCCTCAATGAAACTGCTTAAAGCTAGGATTGGTCACTCAAGCCTGGATGGTTGCAGGCTCATGTTCACCTGCAGGTTCATGTTGCTGAGGCTGGAGCTAGGATTGGTCACTCATCAAGCCTGGATGATTTGAGACTCAAATCCACTTGCAGGTTCATGTTGCTGGGACTAGAGCTAAAGTACAGGTTAGAATGTTAGCCGACATGCAAACATGCTTAGTGTCAGCATGTACTGAGTCAAACAGACATGAAAGGAGATAACCGCAAAGACAAAACATGCTGATCCTGCATAACAGAGAATGCCGACACCGCAATCCAATCTGCTGAGTATAAACATGCACACGCTACCCGCAAACCCCAGAACGGACAGGCCTTTAATGACCGGATGGCATTTTCCTAGTTTCCCACAACAATAAGTATTCAGTTCGACTGCAGCTCAAGTTATCTTCAAATCCCAGGGAAGTGTGGTTAGTAGTTTACCTTGTATGAAGCAGTCACAAATCATATTCGAAGATAAAGTGTTTTGTTTGACCATACAGGATCGATGAAAGTGCCATGCAGGCAACACTTTTGGTAAATGTCTGAATTACTCCCAAAACTTCAGAGTCTAGCACATAAAATAATGGAGCGTGAAATCAATTCTTCAGCCGAGAACTATAACTAGCAGTTTTTATGATAAAGCATTTCCTAAATTAGAGAAAACTGTTTTGTAAGAAATTCACAAAAATAAACGGGGTTTGACCTCACTGGTCCACTAGCCAAATTTTAGTCAAGACACCCAAAATGGCAGCAATCCTAGCATACATATAGATAGTTGTTGCCATACTCACCATACTAGAGCAGAGTGTGTTCAAAATCGCGTGAATATAAATTCGATGTGAGGTGGGGATTTTTCCCATCAGTTTTCGACATTGGAGCTGAAAAATCTACCAAAAGAAATCGCTCTGATTGTGACAAAATTACGAGCAAACTTAACGGCAAAGATAGTACCAAAATAACAGGAAGTCGGATCTGCATGTGCGTATCTGTATGGGAGGCACTATCTGGGTGCAAACCGGGTACAGTCGTGAATAATACAGCATATGACGTACAGTGAACACATCAATAAAACGTGATGTTTCTTGAGCCGATACTGCATTCGCCATGCACAGCGCCACCAGGATATGATTTTTCTCAGATTATGTACATGTATGTGTGTACAGTTGTACATACATATACATGTAGTTAAATGGGTTAGGATGTGCTGAGGTGGACTGGAGAAGCGAGCAGCTCCTCTCCCATTGAAATATCCCATTACATAGCACACGTCTCAACATTAACCTCTCCTAACCAAATCCTACTGTCTGGTGTCTTACGCCAACCCTGTTTTTACTGAATGTCAGAGGATGCCAGCGTGTTCCTGGTGCTATAAGCAGGTGCTTCGGGTAGGTGGAGCTCGTAGGCTTGGCTGCCAGTTCACCTAGGATAGGGACAACGTTATTTCGAACCTGGTTAGGTAGATAGCCTAGGTCGGCAGGCTGCCTAGGAGAGGGACAATGTTATTTCCAACCCGAGTAGGTAGTACTCGTTAGCCTAGGTTGGCGGTCTGCCTAGGAGAGGAACAATGTTATTTCAAACCTGGGTAGGTAGTACTCGTTAGCCTAGGTCAGCGGTCTGCCTAGAAGAGGGACAATGTTATTTCCAACCCAGGCAGGTGGTGCTCATTAGCCTAGGTTGGCAGTCTGCCTAGGAGAGGGACAATGTTATTTCCAACCCGGGTAGGTAGTACTCGTTAGGCCTAGGTCAGCGGT